GTCGTTGGCGGTGTTGAGCTGCAGGGGCGTCGGCTGTTTTCTGATGCGTTGCGTTGGGCATGATGCTGGGGCGATTCGTCTGGATGTCTTGGGAGTGGTCAGAAGAGTCGGTCGCTTTTCACGGGGCGGTTAGTTGTGTGGTGCTTTGTTGGACTTCGGGTGCCTTCGTGGGGGTTTGCTGGTCGTGGATGCTCACTTTGGGGCTTGTCGATGGGGCGCAGGGGACATTTGATACGATGATGGAACCCGAGGAGGACGTGCATGAGGTGAAGACGGTGGAGGAGGAGGATACGAAAGAGGAAGATCGGAGGAGGGAGGGATGAGGAGGATAATGATGAACAGGGAGACGAAGGAGGAGGAAGAGGAGGAGGAGGATGAGGAAGCGACGGAGGAAGAGGAGAGGACGAGGAAGGAAGGAGGATGAAAATGATGATGCAGAGAAGCAAAAACGTAGAAGGAGGGAGAGAAGGAGGAAAAGGGGGAGAATGAGGACAAGTAGCAGGAGGAGGAACGTATCGGAGGCTTTTCGCGGCACGCTTGGAGCCGATGAGGATTGTTGTCAAAATGCTTTTGCAGGATGCCTCTCTGGTTTTCTGGGGGAGCGTCATACAGCCTCAACCCTGCCGTTTGCCCGAGGGCTCGTTGTGATTGCGGAGGTGTTGGGGTCTCCTGGAAGGTGTCTCTGAAGCCTTCTGGAGGCAGTTGTGAAGTTTCTTGAGGCCTCGTCAGGGCCGTTTGGGTGCCCTGGGGGCCTGATTTTGGGCCTCTGGCGGGCTTCTTGGGACTTTTGGGTGCTTCTTGGGAGCCTGCTGGCGGTCTCGGAGGGGCCCCTGGCGTCGGAAAGCTTCAAATGTAATTTTGAGTTCCTTCTCTGGGGGCGTCTTGGAGCCCTCTTGGGCCGTTTTGGCGCCCTCTTGGGGGCATGTTGGGCCATTTTGGGGCGATATTGGGGAGCTCTTGGGCAGTCTTGGACGTTGTGAACCTCCGAACGTCGTCTATGCCAACTATGTACGTCTCCCTATGGACATGGGACGATGTTTGCGTGTTTGGGCCCTCTTGAGGGCCTCTTGAGGCTCTCTTGGAGCTTCTCGGCGGCGTCTAGGGCCGTCTGGAGACCATCATGGGCGTCTTGGAGCAATCTTTCGGCGACTCGGGGCCCCCTGGACCGTCTCGGGGCCGTCTCGGAGCTTTCTTGGCGCGCTCCTGGAGCGCTCTGGGAGGCCTGGAAGGCAGCGCCGAGGAGGAAAACCATCTCTGAGCCGACCTTGCCAGGACCTGGTCGGGGTACTCTTCGTCCGGGAGCCCACAGAAGCCGCCCAGCGCGCGCGAACTAGAATATTTTTGTATTGCTAACCAGTTACCCGAGATCTTAGCACGCCTCTGGCCCGGTGGGCCGGCGAATTGCGGCATGGAGGATGTGGAAACAGCAATGCCCTTACCACCGTGATTCGGATTGAAACTCCGAGCTGGATCCGCGACATCGGCGGCTGGCCTTCCACCATACGGTTGCGCGCGGATGGCAGCGGAGGGGAGACTGGGCAGAGGAATGGATATTTCCGCAAACAGTGCCCGGGCGGCTCTCACTTGTTTCTCCAAGGATTTGGGTGGCTCGGCCGAGAATTTGCCGCGCGGGCGCCTCTATGGCGCAACCGATGGCGCAACCCACGAGGTGTGTCGGCCGAGGTTTCGCCGCGTGGGCGGCCCTATGGCGCAACCTAAGGCGCAATCTATCGCGCAACCATGGCGCAACCAACTGGGTGGGTCGGCCGAGGTTTCGCCACGCGGGCGCCCTTGAAGCGCAACCTGTGGCGCAACCTATGGCGCAACCTATGGCACATCCAATAGCTTGTGTACCACATGATGACAGCTAGGCCCTCCTCTGGCCCGAAAGACGGCGCGGAAGGGCCCCAGGCAGCCCCAAGAAAGCTCCAAGAGGGGCCGAAAATGGTCCACCAAAGGGGCCGCAACGGCCGCAACGAAATCACGCCAAGAGCCCAACGATACCATACCAAGAGCCCTTGGTATGATGCCGTCCGGGGCCATAGTGGGAGCCCTTTGGGGGCCCTCTTGAGCCTTCTCGGAGCTTTTTCCTGGCCCCAAACACGGCCTGGGAGGGCCCCGCACATCCCCGGAGAGAGCTTCCAGAAGGGATCCTCAAGCGATATCATACCAAGAGCCCGCCGACATCATACCAAGAACCCTTGATAGCCTCTCCTGGTATTTTTTGGGGCCATCCTCGGGCATTAAAGACGGCCTGGAAGGGCTTCAGACAGACCCGAGAGATCTCAAGTGAGGCCCAGAGAGGCACCCAGCAGGGGCCCAAAAGGGTCCCGAAACATACTGGTATGATATCGGGTATGAGATCGGTCTGATATCGGGTGTGATACCCAATGGTGGAGCCCTGGGTATGATATCGGCGTGGGGCCCTTCGAGGCCCCGCGGGCCTTCGCGGGGCCCACCGTCGGCCACGAAGACGGCTCAGGAGGCCCCGAGAGAGCTCCAAGAGGACAGAAAACTCTTGTCCGCTAGGGGCTACGAGCTCCACCACAAAGCTTGCACCACATGGGATGCACATATTTGGTGCGAGCTTGCACTGTTTGAGGCCCGCGCTGCAAACGTAGGTTTAGAGGAAGTCGAAAAAACACCACAATTTTCCATACCAATGTTTCAAGCGACCCCTGTCGAGCGGGATGCCTGCCAGATTCTTTGGTGCAGAGATCCTCCTTTGAAGTTCACCGTCTTGGTTGCTCGCACTGGTGTTCTTGGTCCTCTCACTGGTCCCCGCGGCGAAATTTTGCTGGTCGGGCTTGTGGTCTGGAAATTAGTTTGGAAATTGGTCGGGAATTTAGCCTGGAGATTGGTCGGTCACCCGTTGGTTCGGCGACGCCGTTGGGCCATCGTTCCCTGGCGCAGGACGCGCCAGGACAAGTTCGAAACGCGGCCAGAAGGACACTGGAGGACAGGGAAGCGTCGACCGCGAGCGAGGGAGGAGGAGTGGGAAGACGAAGAGGAGGAGGAGGGGGAAGAGGAGGAGGAGGAGGAGGAGGAGGAGGAGGAGGAGGAGGAGGAGGAGGAGGGGAAGGAGGAGGAGGAGGGGGACGAGGAGGGGGAGGGGAGGAGGAGGAGGAGGAGGAGGAGGAGGAGGAGGAGGAGGAGGAGGACAAGCTAGGCGTGCTCGCGTCATATCTGACGTCCTACCCTTCCCTCCCATCCCTCACCATGGCGTAGATCTCCTCTATGTTCGCGCAATCGGATGTCGCAACATGGCACAGCATTACATGACATAGCATGGTGTTGAAGATCAACGCGTAGCATGACATAGCATGACGTGGCGACGCCCCGAATTGGGGGGGCTTCTGCGGCCAAAAAATTAACGAATCGACGCCGAATCTGACAGGAGGCCATTTTCTAGATGTTGGGGCCTATTTGGAAGAACCGAAAACCATGCCGTGGCATGGCGCTGGAAATCCGTAAGGGCTTCGCCCCCTGCCGCCGGCCCCCTCTCTCGGAGAATGGGCCATGGAAGTGCTAAGTCATGAGGCTTTGGCGCTGTCGTGCAGCAGTATCGGAACTTCATGCGAGGCCGATTCGCAATCGGCAAAACCAACTGATCACAAGAGGGGTTACCACACAGGGCGATTGGTAAGACGTGTATGGTTTACGAGCTTGGTTACCACACCTTGGGATTAAAGGGCCGAGGGAGTACTCGCAGTTTGGGTTACCACGCCTTGCGATGGATGTGCGTGAGGGGTGGCACCGAATTTCAGAAATGTGGCAAATCCCTTGTGTTTTTGGACCCTGACCCCGCGGATCTGCGTGAGGGGTGGCACCGAATTTCAGAAATGTGGCAAATCCCTGTGTTTTTGGACCCTGACCCCGCGGATCTGCGTGAGGGGTGGCACCGAATTTCAGAAATGTGGCAAATCCCATGTGTTTTTGGACCCTGACCCCGCGGATCTGCGTGAGGGGTGGCACCGAATTTCAGAAATGTGGCAAATCCCATGTGTTTTTGGACCCTGACCCCGCGGATCTGCGTGAGGGGTGGCACCGAATTTCAGAAATGTGGCAAATCCCTGTGTTTTTGGACCCTGACCCCGCGGATCTGCGTGAGGGGTGGCACCGAATTTCAGAAATGTGGCAAATCCCTGTGTTTTTGGACCCTGACCCCGCGGATCTGCGTGAGGGGTGGCACCGAATTTCAGAAATGTGGCAAATCCCATGTGTTTTTGGACCCTGACCCCGCGGATCTGCGTGAGGGGTGGCACCGACTTTGAGAAATGTGGCAAATCCCATGTGTTTTTGGACCCTGATCCCGCGGATCTGCGTGAGGGGTGTCGATTTCGAGCCCCCCCAGCAATTCAGACAACGCGCCCAGGTGAGGCTAAAAGTTTTGTTTGGGCCTCCCCCCCCCTCGCGCGGTCAATCAACTAGTTACAATAACCAGCAAGAAGTCAACTAGTTACAGTAACCAGCAAGAAGCAGAACAGTAACACTGGAAACTGCAACCTACGACTGGTACAGGAAACTGCGAATCACGTGCCTCGCAGCCTGGTGGCCCCACAAGGGGGCCGGCGGATTCGCCGGCCCACCGTGCCAGAGGCGTGCTAAGATCTCTGGCAACGGGTTAACAATATTCTAGTTCGCGCGCGGGGCGGCTTCTGGGGGCTCCCGGACGAAAAGCACCCCGACCAGGTCGCGGCAAGGTCGGCTCAGAGATGGTTTTCCTCCTCGGCGCTGCCTTCCAGGCCTCCCAGAGCGCTCCAGGAACGCGCCAAGAAGGCTCCGAGACGCCCCCGAGACGGTCCAAGGGGCCCCGAGTCGCCGAAAGTTTGTTCCAAGACGCCCATGATGGTCTCCAGACGGCCCTAGACGCCGCCGAGAAGGCCCAAGAGAGCCTCAAGAGGCCCTCCGCCTTCTCTTTCCCCCACCATCCCCCCCCGCCGCCATCGAGTCGAAGGGAAGCCCCATCCTTTTGATCCCTTCCCCCGCGCGTGCGCCAGGAGGGTACGCCCCGCCTCTTCCCGGGGGCGGCCCCGAGCTGACGGAGCGGCGGGTTCCGGGCGGCCAAGGCAGCGGCCCAGGGGTCGCGGGCGAGGACTTGGGCGCCCCGCCAGCGCGTGTGCCCTTTCAGCGAGAGGCGCCTGCACGCCATCGCCGCCGCCGCCGCCGCCGCCGCCGCCGCCGTCGTCGTCGTCGTCGTCGTCGTCGTCGTCGTCGTCGTCGTCGTCGTGGTGGTGCTGGTGGTTGTGGTCGTGGTCGTCGACGTTGTCGACCTCAGCCGCCTCGCCGCTGGGAAGCGCCCATAAGGAGGTGCATGGATATGCTTGGCCTAGGCTGGGACAGCGCGTGGATCAAGGCAGGGCCAGGGCGGCCTTGGCCAGGCATGGCATTGGTGCACGCGCGCCTCTGGCGCATCCTTGTAATATGCAGGCGGGCACACCATCCTCGGTGCCTGAAACCGCCCGCGCGCCCATCATCCGCAGACTTCGGGCGGTTGGGCCCCCTCCCCGCTCCTCATCCGCAGCTGCGCTCTGCTTTCTCACCCGCCCCGCGCGCCTCGCGCTCAGTTCGGCGCGCCCCGCCGAACTCGGCGACCGCTGGCGCTGCATTGTAAACATGATCGACCCACGAACCCGGAAAGGAATATAGAACTGTAGCACATGGCAGCGTTTTCAAAGACACCTGATTGGGTGACGGGCAAATGCAATGTTGAAGGTATCGATTTTGATGTACCCTGCCGATGGCTGTGCTGTGCTGCGCCGTGCTGAATTGCGATGTGCCATGGCGCGATTGTGCTCTATAGCCTCGTGGATCGAGTCCTCCTTTGCATCCGAGTCCTGATTCAACTGATCTGGATCTTAAGCTCGAGCTGCCTGAACACATAGTTGCTGCCCCAGAGCTAATGGACAGGGGAACATGCCAGGAGGACGCGCCGCGAAACGTCCCAAGGGATGCGCCAGGCGACGTGCCAGGGGACGTGCTATGGGGTCGCACCGCGGACGTGCCAAGGGGACGCGCTACGGAACGTGCCAATGGATGTGCCACGGGATGTGCCAAGGGACGCGCCACGCGACGTGCCAGGGGGACTCGCCAAGGGACGCCCCACGGAACGTGCCAAGGAACGTGCCAAGTTGCAATGCTGAGTGTATCGATCTTGATGTACCGTGCCGAAATCTGTGCTGTGCTGCGCCGTGCTGAATTGCGATGTGCCATGGCGCGATTGTGCTCTATAGCCTCGTGGATCGAGTCCTCCTTTGCATCCGAGTCCTGACCGAACTGATCTGGATCTTAAGCTCGAGCTGCCTGAACACATAGTAGCTGCCCCAGAGCTAATTGACAGGGGGACATGCCAGGAGGACGCGACGCGGAACGTCTCAAGGGACGCGCCAAGCGACGTGCCAAGGGACGTGCCATGGGGACGCACCGCGGGACGTGCCAAGGGGATTCGCTACGGAACGTGCTGGGGAGAAGCGTTTCGCTCGAGACATCCGGTCAAAATCCTCAGAATTCCTGCGCGCGGGACGCGGCACGCGCGAGACATCCTCGGAATCCCCGCGAGCGGGACGTGAAAACAAGCATTTCGCCTGAGACATCCTGTGAATTCTTGCCCCCCACGAGGCCCCCGCTCGAGACATCCCCCAATTTTGCAAAACCAGCGTTTCGCTCGAGACATCCTCAACAAAGTATGAAAAACAAACATTTCGCTTGAGACATCCTGCCAAAATTCAAAAAAAATCTAGCAAAACAAACGAATTAGTCAAGACATCCTCGAAATTCCTGCGCGCGGGACGGGGCACGCGCGAGACATCGTCGGAATTCCCGCGAGCGGGACGTGAAAACAAGCATTTCGCTTGAGACATCCTTTGACGTTTCTGGCCCCCCCACAAGGCCCCCGCTCGAGACATCCCCCAATTTTGCAAAACCAGCGTTTCGCCTGAGACATCCCCCACAAATTATGGAAAACAAGCGTTTCGCTCGAGACATCCTGTCAAAATTGAAAGAAATCTTAGCAAAGCAAAAGGATTAGTCGAGACATCCTCAAAATTCCTGCGCGCGGGACGCGGCACGCGCGAGACATCCTCTGAAGTCCTGCGCGCGGGGCGCTTTTCCGCGTCGCGGTCGGCTCTGCAAAACCCAGCGTTTCGCTCGAGACATCCTCAACAAATTCTGAAAACAAGCGTTTCGCTCGAGACATACCCAACTCTGCAAAACCAGCGTTTCGCTCGAGACAGCCTCAGCTAAGTATGAAAAACAAGCGTTTCGCTCGAGAAATCCTCAAATTTTAATCCGCCGGCCCACCTCGACCTCGATATTTATCAGGGAAAGAATCCGCCGGCCCACCTCAGTTGAGGCACCGAGGACAGGTTTACCAACTAAAAGAGAACCCTGGGCCGGCGCCCTTTCCGGGAAAAACTTTGAGTCGGGCCATATGATGCGGAGGTACATCGCCCCAGAGAGTTACGGAGCGCTCTCAGGGCTTCCTGGAGCACCCTGTAACGGCAGCGCCGCACGTCCTCTAGACCCGGCGGGTCTCAGATATTCCGAGTTCACAGGTCTTGTTCTCATTTGGACGGGTGCTGTGAGCGAGGCGGATGAGCAGGAGCAGGAGCAGGGCCGAAGTGAAGTTCGTTGTTTTGCGCCTGCACAGCTAGTCCCAGCCACGATAGGGTTCCGTGAAGGGCGAGGCCCCCCCGAGGCCGAAAGCGTGGAACGAGCTTCCGTCAAAGTTTTTCTTTTTGGCGATGCCCGGGCCTGCGCGGAGGACGCGATGTCCGTCCTGCACGGGCCCGGCGCGCGGGAGAAGGCCCTGGCGCACGTGGTGCGGCGGCCACCGACCGAGCAGGACGCGCTCGCACTGGGGGGCTGGCGGCTTCGGCTGGGCCGTGGGGCCCGTCGACGGCTCCCTCCTCCTCCCGTGAGGCCTGGGCGTCGCAACCGTTTTGCAACGGGCGTTTTCGCCCCAGGGCCCTCGCGGGTCGCTCTTCGCGAGACATGACGCAGAAAAGTGGGGTCGTGGCCCCTGGTCGTGTTTTTTCGCGATGTTGCATCTTCGCCGCGACGTCGGATCCCATAGCCCCTCGAAGAGCAGCAACAATGGCATAAACCAACTTTGTCGGAGACCCGCGCCGATTTATCGGATCGGCGCTGGACCAGGCAGAGCCGGTCTTCTTCCGCCTGGGTGAAAAGAATCCGTCCCTTCTGAAGGGCAGTTCCCCATTTAGATGTCAGCTTTGTGACTCGCTAGTCTTCTCCTTCGGGGCTATCCTAACCAGAGCTGATTGACATGACCTCCTCCTGGACTCCTCCTCCTCCTCCTCTCCCTCCTCCAGTACACGTGCCCGCCAGCGCGTCCGGCTCGAGATGTTTGCTCGTGTTGACTAGTGCATTGTGCCCCCCTCGCTCCGGGCCAACTCCTTCGGCTTTCTCGTTCGCCCCCCTCGGACCTTTCATGTTTTGCTTTGAGGTGGTCCTTTCGTCTTTTCTCGGCCCCTCGCTCTCCCTGATGCTTCTTTTTCTGGGCCTTCGGGTCGAGGCCGACAACTGAATTCTGAGCTCTCCTCGCCCTCCTCGCCTCGTCCCCCTGTCGGGCCCGCGCGCGCTGCACCCAGGAGACGGAGCACGCGCGGCGGGGGGAGGCGACGCGCGGCGTGCACCAGCGCTCCCTGACCGAGCAGTTGCGGGAGGCGCTGCGGGAGGAGGGGAAGGAGGGAAGGGGTGGATGGAGCGAGAGGGTGGGGCGGATGGGGGGGGCAAAGAGGGAGGAGCAGGACGGGCGGGGAGCTGCCACCACGCCCGCAGAGGGCACCTTGACACCACCACCACGCCTGGCAAGGGCAAGGGCCATCATGGGAGTCAAGAGGGTGTACAGAGTGTAGATTCTCCCGGCCTCGCCCGGGAGGGCGCATACACCATGCCAGAGCCAGGGCCAGGTGGTGCAAGGGTGCCTTCTGCGTATCTCGGGGCGGCGAGGCCGACGCCGCCATGTCCTGTCTGCGCGCCACGCTCAACGCGAGCGCGGACGAGGAGGACAGGGGCTCTGCCGCCGGCGTGGCAGCCCGCCCCGCCCCGCGGCTTCTGCGAGCAGGGCCGTCCTGTGTATCGCGTCTCGTTTGATGAAGCTGCGCAGGAGGGGCACAGGTGGAGGAGGAGGAGGAGGAGGAGGGCCGAGTGAGGAGGAGGTTGCCGCAGGAGAACGAGGAGGAGGAGGAGGAGGAGGAAAGGAGGAAAGGAGGAGGGAAGGTGGCAAGAGGTTGTGGCACAAGAGTGATTGAGAGGAGGAGGTGGAGGAGGAGGAGGAGGAGGAGCAGGAGGAGGAGGAGGAGGATGGCGATGTGTTCGCAGCAGGAGATGGACTATGAGGTGGCAGGATGAGATGGCAGAGAGAGGAAGAGGAGGAGGAGGAGGTGATGACTCCCGGGGGGGTTCTTCATACAACAAGACTGCAGGAGTTGCTATTCACAGAATCTGATCAGCCCTAGCCCGACGACGAGACTTGTCGTTGTATGTCTGACCAGTGTCAGCACAGGGTTGTCAAATCGTCTTCACTGTCACGCAGTCGCTCTCGCCTAGACAGGCGCCCCATGTTATCCCGCCTAGTGCGGACGAGCATACCTTTGCCCATTTTAAACACAAGTCACGTAGTCAGCCATGCGCACACTGCTACCGTCTGTTAATTTGATCTGCGCCACACTACGTGCCTAGGCGGGCTTCTAGACGTTACCCGTTCTTTCCGTCAATGTGATTGATTTCGGCTGTTGCTATTGCTTCCTTATTTCCTTTGGCTCGATATTATATAACTTCGCCTAAGCCCCTTCTGTTTTATATTATAACGGCCCTGGGCCCATCCGCCATTGTGACTGGGTTGTGAGTCGGAGTTCTCAGGGATGCTTCTTGGGGTCTATTCGGAGCGCTCTCAGGGGCCTCTTAAGGGGCTCTTGGGAGTCTCTTGGGGGCATCTTTCCAGCCTCTTGGGGCCTCTTGGGGGTCCTGTTGGGGCTTCCTGGGGGCCCCTCGGGGCCAAGGGCTCGAAATGTCAGTTCGGGTATCCCATCTGGGCCCCCTCTTGGAGGAGTCTTTCAGACCTCTTAGGCCGTCTTGGGCGCCTCTTGGGCCGTCTTGGGGCTCTCTTGGGCCATTTTTGGGCCCTCTTGGAGGCCTCATGGGCCGTCTTGGGGTGAGCGTCTTGGATCAATCGCTCGGCGACCCCAGGCCCTCTTGGGCCGTTTCGGGGGCCTCTCGAGGCCCTCTGGGCCCGTCTTCCGGCCGCATTGGGCCCCGCAAAGTTTCGCGACAAGATTCGGGGCGGCCCAAGGACCCCGCGGGAAGCCCTGGGGGGTTTGGCAATTTCGGCTCCGGGCACCTTCAAGACTCCTCAGGACTGGTGGCCAGAAGATGAGATTGAGGATGAAGGGGGCGCCAGAGGAAAAGGAGGGAGAGGCAGCAAGAGGGCGTTGGGGACAGAGGAAGTTGAGGTAGCCAGAGGAGCGGAAGAAGAGTAAGTTGGCAGGAGTTACGGAGCTGCAGGTATTGGCACCGTGTCGGTTATGCATTTTAGACCTTTAAGCCCATGCTCCTTGGCTGGTTCAGCTCGACTGTTGAGCTTTGGGCTGGGCGTGGGCTTTCAGTGGCGGCTTCTGCGCTGTCTGGGCCCGATCAGGGCGGGCGCGCAAGAGGGCACCGCCGGCGTCCAGCCTCACCGCTACGTCTGCTGCCACCGCGTGTCCTGCCGCGGCCGCGTCCGCGACCGCCCGCGCGCGCCGGCGCCGTCCACTCCCGCCGTCACCGCCTGCCCTCTGCCGTCGCCGGGCCGTGCGCGCCAGGCGGCCGCGCGCCCGGCCAGTCCCGCCTGCAGCATGCCGCGGTCGACCGACGGCAAGGCGCGCGCCTCTGCTGGGGTTGCACGTCCTTGGAGGCTATAGGGTGGTCGTCGGCCCTGACGCTGCATGCTCGCGCCGCGCTTGCGCGGCGAGGACCCCGGCTCGGGCGTTCAAGGTCGAACATTGCCAGTTGCCGGGAGTCGTCCGATATCAGGCGGTTGGTTTGATCGGGAAGCCGCGATCGTTCAAGGTTGAACGATCCAATGAAGAGTCTACGACGTGTCGGAACCTATGTCCACGCCATCGCGACGTGAACCAGCCGTGAGTTGGTAATCGGCCCTAGTAACTATTTCCTTGACGCTGATCATACCATGCCTAATCGTTGCAATGATAGTGTTGACAGTTTTTTCTAGGGGGTGTTCCCCACTGAAATGGAATGTTTGCAGGTGCTTGTGAGGAAAAGTCTTGAGAAAGGAGGGTGTGTTGCAGCATCGCTGATGTATCCTGGCTTTCCTCCTCCTCCTCCTCCTCCTCCTCCTCCTCTTCCTCCTCCCCCTCCTCCTCGTCCTTCTCTACTTCGATCTGTCTTCCCCCTCTTCCCGATATTTCCCATGCTTCCTCGCCCCCTCTGCGTCGACGTCCTCCTCCTCCTCCTCTTCCTCCTCCTACTCCTACTCCACCCCGTTCCCTCCCTTCTCCTCCTCCTCCCCTCTCCTCCATATCGTTCCCCGCGTCACCTCATCTCCGGCCCTCACCTCCTCTGCTCCTCTCTCTCCCACGAAGACGTGCTGAGAGTAGCGCGTCCCCCTCCGCGCACTTGCATTTCTCACTCAGGATAGGGCCGAGTTGTTTTTAGGTTGTTGTTTCTCCCATCCGAACGTTCTCGGCTGTTCAATTGGTGCTCCCACTGCTGCGCGAGTCTCTTTAGGATCGCGGCTTTGCTCCCGTCATTCAGAATGGCGCTCTTCCCCCAGCGCGGGCCGCGTTCCTGGATCCGAGTCCTTCCTCATCGTTGTCGCCCCCTTCCTTCCCATCCCCCGCTCCTTCCACTCCAGTTCCTGCTGCTGTTGCTGTTCGTCCTCGTCCTTCTCCCTCCTCATCCTCCTCCTGTCCCTCCTCCGTCCTTATCCTCCTTCATTTTCCTCCTCGTCCTTCGCCGAAGGCTTGACTACCCCTCCCTCCGACTCCCTCAGCATGTGGGGGCACGTTTTCATGGATGGGTCGTGCACGCGGAGAGCGGTGCGCGCGGCGTCCAACAGGGCAGGTTGGGGCCTAGCCATGCTTGGGACGTCTGACCATTTGCTGTCGATGGCCTGGGGCTCAGTCTGGGACAGCTGCCCTCAGACTCCCAAGGCTGGCGAGCTCACGGCCTGTGTGATGGCGGGCGTCGTCGTGTCAGGCCCCACTCAGCTTTATTCTGATTGGGCCAGCGTCTCAGTGTGCACAGTCTGCCTTCCAGTGTGCATCTCTCGCCCAAGCTTCCTTGTGCGTGGCTGGCTTTGCTGGGTATTTTTCGTGGTGACATGAATATTATCGGGTGTGAAAAGGTTCTCGCGCACCGGGCCCTCGACGATCTTGACATCGACAAGGCCGTGCGCTTCAGGCGCGTCGGGAACGACGTGGCAGACCGTGCTGCGAAACTTGGTGCCGACATGCACCCCCGGCCCTCGGAGGAGAGGATCGTCTCCGTCGACCGTGCTGCCTAGTGAGCTCCGTACGTTGAGCGCCTTGCTGCCTCTCTTTTGCCCCTCGGGCCCCGCACCGAATTGTCGGGAGTAGACAGACAGACAGAAGCCGTGCACATCAGAGGTGCGTTAGCAGAAATGGTGAAACGGATACTATTAGGTGAAACGGCGAACGTGCGAAGCATGGCAAATAGGGGGAGGAAGAGGAGGAGGAGGAGGAGGAGGAGAAGGAGGAGGAGGAGGAGGGGAACAAAGGCGTCAGATATAGGAAGCATATTGCTTTGCGACGCGTGGCCACGCATCACCTTCCTGACGCCAAAGCCTGTGCAAGGCCTCCTGCCTACCAGCTGCCCTGTCGGGAATAGAGTGGCACTCTAATTGTGTCAAGGTTCCTCGGGAGGTCCCCCCGTCCCATCAGTGGATGTGGATGGGACCGCCGTCTGGATCCCAGCGCGTTTGTTGCAGTGCCAGGTGTGTTGGCGTTCCTCCAGAAGCGAGGCCCTCGTCGAGCCCCCGCCCAGGTCACTGCGAGCAGGCCCCAAGGATGTGTTTCCAAAAATTGAGGGGCTTCAATCACAAGTGTGTTTCGTTTGAGAGTTCCAACGACTCATTCGTAGTCGTGTGCACAGCATTCAAATTCTATTCATTTGAAGCTCGCCTGGCCAAGCTGGGTAAGCAATGTACAGGCCATCGTTTCGTCCCTCGGGCGGGAAAGAGCAAGTACAACCAGGCTAGTTGGAACAGAATTTGCAGGGGGGTCCATCCCAAAGAGGACGGAGTCACACTGCTTTCTGACAGTTCCACTGTGCTTTAAGCATGCAGCGCAGCGGTTGTGCTCAAACAAATCCTCACTGTCCGTCTTTTCATCTTGCATTGTCTCACTATGGTTGCAACTATCCCACTTGTGCTAGCCGTTGTTGGGCGCTTCGGCCCCACCCTGCGGCACCCACGCAGTGCATGATTCAGGCCAATCTCCGGTGTCAGAGCTTTGTGGCAAGGGCCTCGCGCGCCTTGCCCAAACGGTCACAGGCACACGCGCTTCGCCGCATGAGCCTGCACCGGCGCCTCGCTCGCTCGCTCCATTTCTTCCTCCTCCCCATGTTCCTCCTCCTCCTCCTCCTCCTGCTCACCCGTCGCCTCCTCATCCTCCTATATATGCAACTCCCTTCTTCCGATTGCGCATAACACGATGGGGTCCTTCTTTGAATTCCAGGTCCTCTATGACACGCGTCGCCAGAAAGGGAATCAGTCAGCGCAATGGGAAGGGATGGGTGGGAGGGGTCGGATGTCAGATGTGACGCGAGTGCACCTAGCTTGCCTTCTGCTCCTCTTCCCCCTCTTCCACGCTGCTCCCGCTCCTCTCCACTCCCGCTTTCCGCCCTGGGAGGCGAGTGACCCAGACCGGCCGCCCCTGTTGAGAACGATGAAGAGGATCTCCGTGGCGCAAAGCGCGATCAAGAAGGACAGATGTGGACGGGTGCAGCAGGGTTGGGTGTCGCAGGGGGAACGAGGGAGGACGTGGAGGTGGAGAAGGAGGAGGAGGAGGACGACGACGACGAGGACGAGGACGAGGAAGAGGAGGAAAAGGATGAGCAGGATGGAGGATGGAGAAGGGAGGGTAGGAGGAAGAAGAGGAGGACGAGGACGAGGGGTATGCTGGTGAGAAGGACGAAGATTCAGCCCGCCGAGGGGGCGTGGTCGAGGCAGCAGCATCAGGACACACCGCAGCCCTTAAAACCAGCCCCATCTACCTGCGAGGGCGGGTCCGCCTCTTTGGGCGGGAAGCTACAGGTTAAGTAAGGTCCCCCGAGGGCCAAAACTTGGCCAAAGCATTCGGGGTTTGGCAATTTGAAAGCCTACGGAACACCTCCCTTGCACTGTCTGATGAAGCCAGACTCCCTGGACAAGAGACTGGGAGTTATTTGAGTTTCTCTCCGCCTGTGCTCGTGTAACTAGCCAAACGAGCACACTCAGTACACCACAGCTGACCGTTCATTACCATGAGCGAATGGGACTGGTGCACCGTCTTGCCACCGATTCGGAGGAAGGGGTCGGTCGAGACAGGGATCGGGAGGGGAACCTTTATACACTGGAACCTCCTTGATGGGCGCGGGTTCTTTCGCACCCAGGCATCCACAGAGACTCTCGAAGGCCACTGTTTACAGTGAAAACAAAGCCAGCGGTTCTTGTCCTTGGGATTATGCTGAATGAAGCGGCCCGTGACACACTCGAGCTCCTGCCGAAGCGAAGCTAACTTCATTGACCTCAGGAGCGGCGGCGGACCCTAATGTTTGACACTGGGCAACGAGGAAGCCTCATACACAGCTGTTGTGAGGCGGTCGCGCATCAGTGCGAGGAGGTTCTCGTGCAAATTAAGTGGATTGAGCTGGGGCTGCATCATGTTGATGGCCTTTTTCCCGGGCCCTGTTGAGCTAGGGGCTCGCTCGTTACCTAGGGTGGCCAAGCACGGCTCGCGGGAAACGCTCAAGCCCGCTCCGTACAAGTGGGAATTTCATTTCCTGAGGGTAATGCGGGCGATCTTGCCGGGCCTTTGGAGGATAGCTGCGTTGAGTATTTGCCATTTGTTTCTATGGGAACCTGGAGGGCGCATCCAGAACCTGCTGTGCCAGCCTCTGTAGACAAGCGAGTCGTCCGTCCAGATCGTGAGGGCCCCATGGGTGTAGAGTATGCAGTACTGTAGAACCGCCAGCTCAACACATAACATCGCTTGGGTGCCGTCAACCATACCAACAAATCCTGGGAATCGGTCAGGTCCGGGAATCTCATCGACATCGAAAGACCATTCCCCACAAGCATGTGCGATCCGAGGGTCCGCCCATTTCGCCGATCAGTCGAGGTAGGCACGTTGAGGTTGCAAGTGTGCGCCTTCAAGCTGTAAATTTCCATTGGGCTGAGGGTTCTGTTCCAAATCGACGTCGTGAACGGTTCGATGCTCGTTCCAGTCTGGGGCCCTTGGAATTTCGATGAGATTGGTTGGCGTGCTCGACATCAGAAGGGTCTCATACCGGGTTTCCCGTTGATCGATTGTATTGTTTTGCGTTCCAGGTCTGGGGCGCGGCGGGTCCAGTCATGGTCGATGTCGCTATGTTTCGGGAATTGGTAGAAGCGGTGTAGCAGGTCTTCCGCATTTCCACGGCAGCGAAGGCTTGTTGTTTCGCGCACGCAGCTTGCCAGCGAAGTCCGTTGCGCAATCCAGCTAATGCCCGTGGTGATGTTCTCCAGCTCATTGGTCCTAAACATACCCTTACCCGTGGTCGGCCTGGGTGAAAAGGGCCGTCCGCTGGATTGGACGTTTGCCACTGCCTGTCCCACTTGGGGACAGGCACCACCACTCCGTTGCGTTTTGGCCTGCCCGCAGGAGCGTCGTTGCAATCTCACGCTCCCCCGGGGGCCGCTGCGGCCGCGTTCGGGAGAGCTCCCGGGGGCCACGCGTGCGCCCGAGAGCGATTTCGGTCAAACGCCAACGCGACGGGTATGTCTCCAGGGGTACCATCGACACGCGTCGGCGACGGTACGCGCTTGGCGTTCGGGGCCCCAGGCGTTTGGGGCGAGCGTGGGATTGCAGCGGCGCACGCCCAGGACACCCAGGACGCATTTTGCGCGTCGAGCCCCAAACGCTTGATTGTGCGCCTTCGTGGGCGCACCTCCCAACGAGCTACTCTAGCCCCAGAGCCACCAATGCGTGGTCGGCCACTTTGCCGAATGGAACGCACGCGTCTTCGGTGCCAGCGGATGCCCGGAGAAGACAGCGTCCTGCAATGTCCCATGGGCCATCGCATCCTCCCTTGTGCAGCCGCCGTCGGCTGCGGCGTGTTGCGTCCCCCGCCCCTTGCCATCCCGCCTGGGTAAGGGTACGGGTATCTTCGGCTCGAGACCAGCGAGCCCGCCCCCGTCAACTTGCCTTTGCGGCGCATCCAGCGCAAAGTGCATTGCGCTGCCTGCAGATGTGCACCTTCAGCTAGTCCGTACCACTCAGGATGTAGACTCGCCTTTCTCCACAAACCCGTCGTGAGTTGGGTATGTACCGTGTCATAGAGGCTCTGCAGGTCCGCGTCGTTGGGATTGTAGGCCCATTCGTTGTCGTCTGGGTCCGTCCAGCGGTCTGGCTCAGTTTAGCGTCCGGCCCCAATTCTCCCACGTACACGATGAGCACCCGCAGTAGCTCTATCACCGATGGCGCCCACTTTGGCGCAGATTGCTTGCCAGCCCAACACGTGCTCGTGCTTGGTACTCGTGTTGCTGCTCCCAGAAAGTGAACCATTCCTTGGTCTGCCGTATGTTGAAGGTACTGGGTCCTGCTTGTCGCATATGTGCAGCATGATGGTGGATGGTGGAGTTGCATCGCCCTCCCACAGAAAATCCAGCCATGGTTGCTGCTGGTGGTCCTTTTTCTGCCTGGTGTCGAAATGCAGGAAGGCCCATGCGGCGTTGTGTATCGCTGTGTATCCACTAAGATTTCAGGCCTTACTTGCAGAGCCTAGCAGTTGCTTTCCTACCGAAACCTCGTCTTTGGAACATTGAATATATTTGTCGTTGCTGTCGCGCGTTTTGCTGCTGTAGGGGTGCGTCGATGCTTTCCCCTGGTACTGCCGAAGCCAAAGTTATCGTCGCTGTAATTGTTTTGATGATTACTCCGTGCGTGGCCATGGATCCGATGAGTTAGGCGGCGAGCGATGGGGGAGCGGAGCGGCGCCGATGTCGCTCAGAGGGCGTCCCTTGTAGGGAACGGCGGTTGTGCCGGGGCGCTCAGTTCTGTTTCGGAACTCGGCCGAAGTCAGAAAGTAGGGAGTTGGAGTGGGAGACTTGGGAGCTGGAGTCGGAAGGCCAGTGTAGATTCGGAAGGTTGGCAGCCGGAGTCGGAAAATTGAGAGCCAGAATTGGAGAGACGGGCGTCGGAGTCGAAAAGTTGGGAGCTGGACTCGGAGGAGAGATCGGAGTTGGGGTCGGAAAGTTGGTAGCCGGAGTCGGGATGTTGGGAGCTTTAGTCGGAGAGTTGGGAGCCGGAGTCGGAGAGATTGGAGTTGGAGTCGGAACTGGAGTCGGAAAATTAGGAGTCGGAGTCGGAGATATGGAAATTGGACTCGGAAAGTTGGGAGCCAGAGTCGTGGGGACGGGCGCCAGAGTCGGAAAATTGAAGTGACAAGTGGGAGTTGGGGTCGGAGAGATGGGACAAATGGTAGTTGGAGTCAAAGAATTGGGAGCTGAAGTCGGAAAGATGGGAGTTGGAGTCCGAAAGTTTGGAGCCCGAGTCGGAGGGATGGGAACTGGAGTCTGAAAATCATGAGCCAGGGTCGGAGAGACGGGCGCTGCAGTCAGAAAGTTTGGAACCAAAATCGGTGGCGCTGGAGTCGGCAGAAAAATGGGGGCCGTGCTCGCAAAGATGGGAGCTGGAGACGGGAAGTGGAGAGCTGGAGCTGGAGGTATGAGGCGCTTCAGTTGGATGTGCGTACATACATGAATTCAATACCACCCACAGCTCGTCATCGCAGGCAAGCGTTTCCCAGACCCCATCAGTATGATTACTTCGTACTGTCTGACATATGTCGTCGAACCAGCGCATCCGAGGCCGTTGTGGTAGCCTCCGAGCACGCACGTCGCGACGTTCCAACTCCATTTGTGTTTGTCGTGCTCCAGTTTAGCCCAATCCTCGTAGCCAGCTTGAGAAAATACGTGTTCCACAATACGTGTTGCTCTTTTGATCCAGTCGTGCCATGGCTCGATGTATGTACGAACGTCCGAAGACGAACTGGAGGACGGACGTGTGGAATGTGTGTTGCTGTCGGTGCCGCTCTCTGCGGACGCTGTGTCGGCGTTCTCTTCGGTGTCCGCCGCGTCTAGGTACCAGCGTTGCGGCGCACTGACAGTTATACGTAACATTCGGCGTTGGGTTGCCCGAATTTTGCCCTCCAGTTCTGCCGTGAGTGTCCACGACGCACACCCTACAATGCAGTTGCACCAACGACGTCGTTGAATAGGCGCAGCTGGTCATTCGCTGAGTACGCCGTGGTAGTGAGCTCCTGCATGAATAAGCCGAACTTCTCTCCGAGCAGCCTTGATACGCGACTCTATATCTACCTCTGCTCGGTTACAGAGAGTAAACCTGAAAATGCTTTTTCGCCGAAAGGGGCTATGGAAGAAGATCGAAGAATGCAATGCTCCAATGCTCATGCTCTACTGAAACATGCCATCCGTGTTTCTGCTATCTACTGCTGTGCTGCACTACTACATCCTTCTACCTACCTGTCCATAGCTAGTCCGGAGGAGGGGGATTTCTTCACCCCTCCTCACTGCGAGGGAACCCTTTGGGTTAGCTCACAGTGCGTGCAGCCGAGAGAGGTCTCTGCCTCCTACGACTACCGGTAGCGGAGCTGTGGCGATCCAGCGCGACCACCACTGCGCAGAAAAGTGTAGCTAGCGCGGGGCTGCCCGCAGCCAGCTTGCTCGTCAAGGCGGGGGTGCGGAGCTACCCGCGACTCCCCTCAGACTGCTCTCCTGCCCGGGGGGCGCCGGGAGCAGAGCAACCTGCTTCCCGAGGGAGCGGGGCTACCCGCGTCCCTGCTGCTTCCAGAGGGAGCGGGGCTACCCGCGTCCCTGCTGCTTCGGCGTCGTGCCGCTCCTCTATTTCAGGAGCAACCCTTTCGCCGGTCTGCCGCTCCTGTACTCCTGGTTGATACCCTTCATGTGGACGTCGATCTCCTTACGACCCAATGGCTTAGTCAATAGGTCGCTCCGGTTCTCGGCCGTACCGATCTGGCCCAACTCCAGGTGCTGCATGACGATCCTCTCCTGCACCCACAAGTAGCGGGTCTGAACATGCTTGAGCTTCCCAACGCCCCGGCGCGAAGCAAAGCCGCGCGCCGCGGAAGAGTCCGACACCACCTTGACTTTAGATGGGACCTGCCAGTCCTCCAACAAGCCTTGGATGCCTAATCCGGTGCAGGCGCCGGCGCTGATGGCGTAGTACTCGTTCTCTCCGGAGGAAAGTCCTACCACCTGCAACAGGTTGCAAGCGTGCTTCACCACCTGGCCGCCGACGAAAACGACCTGCCCGACAGTAGACCGTCGGCTGATCTTGTCGCCAGCGTTGTCGCTGTCCACCATGACCAGGATGGGCAAAGGACTACCCCTGTCGATGTGCTTGTTCCTGCGGAGAACCTGCACCACCCGGGGTCTTCCTTTCAGGTATCTTGCCAGCCTCTTGAGCCTGGCCATGTCGACCTGCTTCGGGCTCTGCATGTGCTTAGCCAGATTCTTTACTGCATCTCCAATGTCAGCCCGATCTGGTGCTAAGTATGATGCTCGCATGGTCACACTGCGGTACAACCGGATGTCGTCGCCGACAAGCGGGGGCGAGGCTAACCGCTCCTCCGCTTCGGCCTCCTCCTTCTTCAGCCCAGGAACATCTAGTGTCTTAGCGGATTCCTTTTCGAGGCCCATGTCTCGAACTATCATCTCTGCGTGCCGTGGATCAGCTTCGACCTCGAAACGTTCCTCTCTGGGGCTTCCGGTCACTCGTAGAATCTTGTTCAAGAAAACGACCTCCTGCTCCTCTCCTGAGCCGAGCTCGAAGCTTCCAGTCACCTTCAAGTCATACTTCTTCCGCAAGGTGTGCTCGATCTGGTCCAAGGCAGCGTCGTCGCCCATGGCGCAGAAGTCATCACCATGCACTAAGGACCGACAGTCGTCGACCTTCCTATAGAAGAGGGCCAGGTTCGCCCTGCCTGCCTCGTGGCCGTCCTGCTTGAGCATTGCTGTGTAGTCCCGCTGCCAGATGGCAGACGCGTCCTGCGTACCGTACATGCTCTTCTTCAAGAGTGCGCAATGAACGCCGTCCTGCTCCTCCTCTGGCAGCTCCACGTACACCGTCCTCTCAGCCAGGCCGTAGAAATGAGCACGTGAGATGTCGAAAATTCGCATCCCCAGCGGCTTACCCCGCTTGCTGCTCCTGTTCTGCACCATCAAGCCTCCTAGCATCTTCACAGCCTCCAGAGGCGGCATTGCTGAAAACAGCGACGCTGCAGGCAACTTACGCCCCTCTTCTCCTTGACCGCGCTTCTCGCGCACGACAATACGGGACTGGTAGTTCGGTCGCTCGTTGTCGCCCTTGTTGGTGTCGAGCCACATCAAACGGATAGGTTTCGCACCTGTCACCTCCAGGCACTCCTTGAGAGTCCGTTTCTCGTACACCTCCTGCCGGCGAAGCCATCCTACCTCCTCCTCCCTAGCCTTCCTCACCATGGCGGGGTCCAGCCAACCTCCATTGACGTCGTCCCAGTACCTCTCGTGCTCCTCCAAGAACGATCTGCCCTGCTCGTAGGTGTCGGGCTCTGTAGGTACCGGGCCAGCCGTAGCCTCCGCCAGGCCAGAGAGGGATCCGTCTTTCTTCATGGACTCTTTTACTGCTCGTAGGACACATCGCGCCAGCATCGGAGGATGAACTTGTGCCCTGCGGGCCAAGCCGCCTGTCAGTGGCACATGCCGGTGCTGCTCTGGCCCCGCGTCGTCAGAGCACCCCTTTTTGAGCTCCAGCGCAAGCTCGGGCATGTTGGTCATAAATCCGGCTCGCCTCCGGATGAACCCTTGCACGCCTGAAGGGGGCTCGCCTTGGCCCGCAGGCTTTGCGCTCCACTTGCACACGGCTCCTCTGACCCTTTCCACGGCGTTCTGCCCCAGCAGCTCCTGGACGACAGTCGAGTCCCAGCTGCTGTCTTCGTGGGGGTGCTCGTGCACGAAGTACCTGCCCCGAGCCATCTGCCTCCGGTAGCTCTCACAAGCCACCTCAAGCAAGCCACCTCAAGATGACGTTCTGCAAGATCTTGCTCTTGAAGGGCCTTCTCCGGGTCCCGCCTGAGCCGGGATGCACCCTGCAGCTCTGCAAGCGCTGTGGAAGGAGGTGATCCGATGAGGATGTACGGATCCTCGCGCTCCAGCGTGTCGTACCACTCCTTCCTGTCCTCCTCCTTCCTGAAGTCCCAGTGCCTCCCATTCGGTCTCTCTGCCTGCATGTCTGCGCTCACCCCAGGTCTCAGGCCCAAGTGGCACGAAAGCGCAACATGGCACGGAGGCGGGCACTCTTCACGGACATCCACGGCTCCCAGCTGCAAGCCTAGATGGGTGATATTCTCCAGCTCCTCCGCCGAGAGGTCAACCTCGTTCCGGCGACACGCGAAAACGATGCTCCTCCGATACAGGCTCCTCAACTCCTCCTTCATCGTCATCGTCGTCATGCTGCTCACGTCTACGTCTCCTCCTCCTGTCGCCGCCGGCGCGGAGCCTCCCGCAGCCGCGGCGCCTGGTACCTCCGCAGACGCAGCACTGGCCCCTGTCGCTGGAGCCGGGCCTCCAGACCCTGGCGACGCAGCCGGAGCGGAGCCACCCGCTTCCGCTGCACCTTCTGGCAACGACACCTCCATGTCGTCGTCTGCTGTTCTCCGGCCAGCTCCTTCAGCCGACCTGCTCCTCGACCTCTCGTCGAACCCCTCGCCCGGTGCGACGGCAGCCGGCCTTCCGCGAGGCCGCTCCTCGCCCGGCGGTGGCGGCGCCTGTGCTGCCGCCGGCGGCGCGGCTGGCCCGCCCGCCGCTGGAGCCGCGGAGCCTCCCGCTGACTCCCGTGCCTCTACTCGGGGCCGCTTCGCCCGGCGAGCGTCCAGCCTCCGTCGGGCCGCCTCGTCTTCCTCCATCATGCTGGCCATTCGCTGCGTACACTCTGCCGTGTGCGCGCGCCCTGCCGGCAAGCCACACATGATGTTGAAGCATGCTGGACACGTCGGTGTCCCGCCAAAGCGCTCCACGTCTGCCTTCAGCACGTAGAGCTTCCTGGGTCCTGGCACTCCTCCTCCGCCTCCTCCTACTCCTCCTCGTCCTCCTGCTACGGGCTGAGGGGGTAGTGGCGGATTTGCCGACCCGGCAGCCTCCCGGCCTGCCAGCAAGGGCCTCCCTGGAGCGGGGCTAACCGCATCCGGGGGCTCCATTTCCCAAGGCGTCCCACGCGCCTGGTCTAGCCCAGCGGGTTTCCAGCGTTCCTCCGCCGTCATCTTATTGTAGGTCTTGCCTCGCAAAACCCCCTTGGTGGTCATCACCAGCAGACTGCCAGTCCGCGTCTGGTGGCCGACGTACCACCCCTCTATCATTTTAGGAGTCATGCCGCTCCGCGGCTCCTCCTGCGCGAGCCTCACGTGAATCCGTTCGCCGAATTCCAACGCCGACTTCGCCCAGCGCCTTCCTGTGCGCCTTTGCTCGGCGGACCTCCCGTCCTCGCCGATACGGTATCTACTGAGACACGCAGCAGCATGTCGTGGCAGCCACGTCCAAATCGGATGGTGCAGCGGTAGCCGCGTACCGATCCTCTCCTCGAACGTTTCCTTCTGCGCACGCACAATGCGTTTCACCTCCTTGACCGCGTTCTCGGCCTCACCGTTCGCTGCGTGGTCTCCTACAGGAGACTCCTGCATGACAGTCTCTACTGCCTGCATCTGGTCAGCCACAGCCTGCTTCAAGGCTACAAGGCTGCGTTCGCCGTCTGACCGGCTCACGTACCTCTTCCAACCGAGCTCCTTCAAGTAGCCCGCGAAGAACTTCACAGGGTACGGGTGCACTCCCTTCTGGGGCACTGCCGTCGCCGCATACCCCTTGGTACGGCGATCCCTTATCACCAGCATCGGCAACGCTGTGTCCTCACTGCCGTCGTCGGCCAAGTAGCCGTAGTCAGAGCACACAACAGGATCAGCTGTTTCCGGGTCCTCCTGTCGGGCTCGGTGCTGTTCGCCGATGCCCCGTGCTGCCTGGCAGTGGCGGCACCAAGACCTGAACTGAGCATGTCCCATACCGTAGTGCTCATCCACCTCTTGCGCACTCGGCGCTCGAGGCCCTGTCCGGATTTTCACATCCGGTGCTTCCTCCCCAACGCCTTCTCGAAGCAATGGGGGTTCCGGAGCGGGGCTACCCGCATCCGGGGCCGGGGCGGAGCCACCCGCACCCGGCTCACCCTCCAACGGCCTTACGGGCACTGGCCCTGCCGCCGGAAACCCGGCGACAGGCCAAGCGGCGCGATGTCTTCCGCGCGCTCCACCTTCATGTAGAAGTTGTAGACGACCCTCTCTCGGTACACTGGCAGGAGCGAGTCGTCGCCGAAACGCCTCACCAGGCGATCGAGCTCCTTCTGCAGCATCTTCCCGATGCGGCCGTCCTTGGGGATCACGTACCCCCCGTCTGCGCTTAACCATATCAGCTGGCGTCCATTCTCGCACACTTGGGACGCTGATGCCAATATCTTGCGCACGTCGCTCCTCCTACCAGTGATGCACCTTCGGGCATCGTTCTCGTCCTTGCAGTGCAGACGAACGCCTCCGTAGTCCTGGATGCGCTCTCCGGACGCCGTTATGTATCCAGAGTGATCTGGAGAGGGAATCGGTGCGGAGCTACCCGCGAACCACTCCCTAGGGTAGGCCGTCGCTGCAGCCCCGCTGTCCAGGTTGAAACGGACATACTCGGAACCGTCGGTCGTGCTCACGGCAGCGATCTCGATGTCACCCATATCCAATCCTCCCTGTTCTCCTTCTGGCTCCTTCTCTCCCTCTCCTCCTCCTTCGTCTAGCGCTCCTGCTCCTTTCCCTTTCCTGCTGCTGCCCTTGCCGCTCTTCTTGCTCTTTCCTTTTCCTCCTCCTGTCTGCGGGGGCGCCCAGCAGTCCTTCTTCTTGTGGCCGTACTTGCCGCAGTTGTCGCAGTAGCCCTCGAACTTCTGCTGTCCGTGCTGCGGCTGGTGCTGCTGCGGCTGGTGCTGCTGCTTTCCCTGCCTCTTCCTTTCGCGTCCTTGCCTGCGCTGCCCTTGCCTTTTCCTTTTCCGCCCTTCGCAAGCGATCCGGCGTCAACGTCCATGGGGGTTGGACCTGGACCTCCTGCCTGCGGCATGCGGTCCCTCAGCGTCACCTTGACCAGCTTGCCCGTGCGTGTTTCGTAGTACGTCATCACCTCTTGCCTCATGTCGTTGTACTTCTTGAGGCGTGATGCGTTCAGTTGCAGGTGCTTCTCCAAATCGTCTGGCACTAGGGCTTCCAACGCTGAGCACAGGAAGTCGTCAGCAATGGCCGGTTCGCCAAGCTTCAACGACTTCTTGTTGTAACGGCTCACCATCTCCTCCCAGGTCTGCAAGGCCGAGCCGAGCTCGTCCATCTTGACTCTGGTCGGCGCCAGGATGGCTCGTAAGAGGCTCCTGCGCCGACCCCCGGTCAGGGAGTCGAAGCGTCTGTGCAGGCGTCTCCACGCCTCTAGGCCGTTCTTGTCAGCGTTCTGAACTATGGTCCAGCCTTCACCTTCGGTGAGGTTGCTTAGGACCGTCTTCACTTGCAGGTTGAGTCCAAGGACGCCGTCTATAACATGGTCGCTCCCTGGTCCGAAGGATTCCAGCACCTGCTGCACTGTGATCTCCTCGTCCTGGTCGAGCGCCCATTCGAGAGCCTGTTCCAAGGCCGGCTCGACTCCAAGAAGATAGTCTTCAGTCTTCTTGGCCCACTCCAGGAATCGAGCCTCGTCGTTGTTGTACGCCGCTGGCTTGCCGACGCCCTTGCTGTCAACAAGGCTCGGCCGGCTCCTGGCTGCGAAGGTGCGCGTCTGCTCATCAAGAGCACGAATGAGTCTCTCCACGACTTCATTGGAAAGTGCTCCCGCTGCTGCTGCTGCTGCTGCTGCTGCTGCCGCGCCTCCTCCTGGTCCTGCGGCGGGGCGCTGCTGGATCGCCTCCAGCGTCTGCTGCTGCACCCTCACCGTGTCTGCCAGCTGCGCGTTCTCCTGCCGGAGCTGCCTGAGCTCCGCTGCCAGTTGCTGAAGCTGCTGCTCCATGGCTCTCGCCCCTTTCCTGCTTCACCTCCCTCAGCGCGGAGCTCCCCGCTGCCGAGAGATGCTGCAGGGGCTCTTGGTTGGCCCCGGCGCGCTTCCCGACCGTCTCCGGCTGCCCAGCCGCCTCCGACGGACTTCGCGCGTCCCCTCCTTCTGTTCGTGGACGCACGCCACCCGGCGACACGTTCCTACGGCGAAAGAAGATCTGCTCGATCTTTACCTCGAGGAAGCCCTTCTCCCTCGCCTCAAGTGCGGCTGGTGGGTCGTCTGGCGATCCCTCAGCCTCCTCAGCCTCCTCTCGCCTCCCGCGCCGGCGCCTCCTGCGCCGCGCCGGAGGTTCTTCCGGGCCGCGGTGCCCGGCCTGCTCACGGGAAGGCGCGGGTCTACCCGCAGCCTTCGACCGTGCCTTGAGGAGCACCTGGCGCGGAGCGGGGCTGCCCGCTTCCGCCGCCGGCTCCTCTCTCCTCCTCGGACCACGGCTCGGCGCGGAGCTACCCGCTGCCAGCCGAAGTCCCGGTGCGCCGCCCAGCAGGCGGCGGTGGTGCCCGCGTACCTCGCGGTCGCGGGTCCGGGAGGCTCCTCTGGTGCCTCTCTTGCTAGGCATTCATCGCGCGCCGCCGGGCGCGTGCGAGCCGCCTACACTCGCTACCATGAAAATGCTTTTTCGCCGAAAGGGGCGATGGAAGAAGATCGAAGAATGCAATGCTCCAATGCTCATGCTCTACTGAAACATGCCATCCGTATTTCTGCTATCTACTGCTGTGCTGCACTACTACATCCTTCTACCTACCTGTCCATAGCTAGTCCGGAGGAGGGGGATTTCTTCAAAACCGTCTGCCAATATATTTTCGTGTCCCAGAGAAACGCAAAACTTCGATCTGCATGTCGTCAACGACGGCGAATTCCAGAGCCGGTCGCAAAAGTTATGTAATATTTTCGTTTTGTCAGGGTGGATGTCCAGGCCCGTCGTCAAAGCAACGCTCTGCACGTCTGATATCATCCGTTTGATCAGCGTCATTGAACCACCAATGATCTTCACATCATCAGCAAATCTGAGATTAGTAAGTCGTGTGCCCCCGACACATGACAACTGAATTCCGTCTTTGCATGTGGACCATTTCGGGTAGATATTTTGGAAGATGTCCTGTGACAGATTGTTGAATGACAGCGAGCTCAATGGCCCTCCCTGCTTCGTCCCCCGCGCAATGCAGAATTCTCTGCTTAACGCATCCGTCTTCACCACGGCTGTTTGGTTGGCATACAATTTGGCAATTATGTTGACGTACGGTGCTGGCACAGACTGTTTCTAAGGCCTTCCAGAGTGCGTCGTGGGAGACTGTGTCGAAAGCTTTTTTGAAATCCAGCGCGGCGGCCCAAATCAGAATTTGTCATTCCCTTCCTTTCTCTTGAAGGATTGTAAGCGCAAACATATTGTCATCGGTACGATCATGTTTCCCGAACCCAGCTTGTTCTGGAGGCTGGGCTTTGTCGAGGATCGGTTCTAAAATATTGTACAGCGAACGAGAGAACAGTTTATACATCAGCGGGATAATGCATGTCGGCCTGTAGTTCTGGGGCAGAGACGCATCCCCAGATTTGAACAACATGCGAATCTGAGTGTGGTGCCAGCTTTCCGGCTTGGGTGATTCAGGCAACATGATAGTGTTGAATAGTTCCGATAATGCGCGTCGCAGGCCTCGTCCCCCATATTTGAGCATTTCTGCTGCAATACCAGATGCGTTTGCAGATCTACAATTTTTCAGTTGCCTGAGTCTCGTGGTATGGTGGAATGCCCGGCGTGGTGGTAGGTCGTTGGCCGCTGGTGTTCGCGTGCGTCGCTGCATAAAGGTTCTCGTAGAAGTCGGCAAATACGTTTGCAATCGTTCGATGGTCAAATACCTGGCTTCCATCAGAAGACCGCATGGATGTGATGTGATCCTTGCGCTTTACACCCTTAATGTCGCTGATATGTCGGAACACCTTATACTCGTTTAGAATATGACTTATACGAGCCTTGTGCTTACTCCGTTGCTGTGATATGATACATGTTCGGATTTGTTTGCTGACCGCCCGCCGCTCTAATGTAATTGTCGCTTGTAGTGCCTTCCGCTGCGCAAGTAGATTGTGGAACAAATCATTACCATGCCAACCACAATTTTTGCAACCAGCGACTGTTGACGGCACCCCCACCGAATCCAGTATCGCATATTCTATTCTGCCATTCATATCCTCCACTGTACTATCGCTTAATATCTCGTGCAAATGCCTCTCCACGTCGGCAACACATTGTTGTACATCACGTGGCGGCCACTTTGTTCGGGTTTGTCTCTTGCGCCTGGGCTTGTTCACTGGAGCATTCGTTGTAGACGTCCGCTTGCTAAGTATATTGCTGTGCATGTTCACCGCTCGATGGTCTGATCCCAGATCGACGGTATCGATGTCCATACAGTCCGTCACATTATTCCAAAAACGTATGGAAACGATGATGTTGTCAAGTTGTCTTTCCCCATGTTTTGTGTGCTGATACGTCTATAAATCCCACGGCTGCTTTTTGAACATACTATTTGTTATTACCAGGTTTTCAGAAGCAACCCAATTTTTCAAACATTGTCCACGCGCAGTCCCAGGCCCACGTGCATGTCTACCGCACGACCTTGGATTGTCGTACTCCGTCGCAGGTCCCACTTGAGCATTGCAATCGGCACCGATAATGGTATGCAACTTCCGTCGTACGGCCGCCTGGGTCAAAGTAGACAGAGACGAATACATGGGCTGCACGTGGTCGTCGGAGAATTTGCCGTGCTGGAAATAAG